ACAATGCGACGATCTCCAATGAACCCCGGCACAGAACAGCGAGAAATGTTGGGTGCATGCCAATCCCCGCGGTAGCTGACCAACCCAGCGTTCTGGGATGATATGGAGCTGTGCCTTACAGATGCCACCGTCGTAGCCCGGTCCGCTGCGTGCATCCGCCGGCTGGGCATTCTTGGTTTTTGCATGGCAGAACAGGCCCTGAAAGGCTGGCCAAGAGGCAAGAGGGTGGATAAGGTCAATATGCTCCACTGAAGAGAAGCATGGCAGACGGAAGGTTGGTCGGCGGATTCCATATCGCATTTTATTCTGACGACCTTTGTTCTGTTCGTGTGTTGCTAGTGTCCTATGAATTCACCCAAAGCTGCCGGAGGGTCGCTCGTAGACGGTCGCCACTCATGTACCCAATACATTCCTCCACGACGTCTGAGCATCATGAAGACGGGACTTCAGATTGCCGCTTGCTGTAATGAAGATATACAACCTTTTAATACATCTGTGTTCCGAAGATTCTCTGAAATACGGCAAATACATATGCAACGGGTATGAATTGCTCTAGAGAAACATCTTTTGACCTCTCCAAAAGCCCAAGCATCTATGACAATCTATCATGCAAGTAGCTCCCTCGCAACCTCGTATGAGTTGATGTACTCAATTCCCTCTTTCCTCCAGGTATCATCTTCCACGAAGCTGTTGCTAGCATTCAGGACCAGGTTCTTCGGTGCCGCGAGGTCATACTTTGGCCAGTACGGCAACAGCCCGTCCCGTTTCGTCACATTCCCAGCCTTTGCATTGGGATCCAGGTCATTGACGAACCTGACATACGCCTGCCCAATGCCCCGTGCCAGCTCCAGGTGGCTATCGTACTCCGGCGACGGGCCCAACAGCCCACTGATGTTCTGGAAGCTGAACGCGACGTTGTCAAAGTGCTGCACGCCGTCCAGCTCAGCCCTGTTCCACAACCGCTGGTCGAACCGGTAGCTGTACACCGGCTGCCCCGCCTCGCCCGCGTACAGCTCGCACATCTTCCGCCGGCCCGAGATCATAACCAGGTCCCCGCCGATCGAAGCACCCCGCCGCCACTGCAGGCCCTTGGCCGGGTACACGGAGCAGTTCCAGATGGAGTGCGGCGGCTGCGTGCACGGGTCGTTCGGGTACAGCTCGAACAGCTTCCGGATCGTCGGCGGCGAGAGCGCGTAGGAGCGCCAGAACATGAACCCGTTGAGCAGGTTCTGCTCGGTGTCGGGCTTCGGGCTGTTGGGGTTGAAGTTGATGCCCTCGTCGCTGTTGGCGCCCGTCAGGAGGGGCACCTTGACGTACTTGCCCTCGCGGATCAGCTGGCTCGGGTACCCCGTCAGGAAGTCGCCGTCGACGAGCGGGTTCCAGACCTGGCTGGGCTTGGCCGCGAAGAGGTCGTCCTGGCTCAAGCCGCGCAGGCAGGCGAGCTGGTCCTTGGCGGTCCAGCAGCCGGTCGTGCGAGTGAGGTTCTCGACGGGTACGGTGTAGTAGGCCAGGTCATGGACCTGCGCGCCGGTCGGGCCGCCGCTTTCGAGGATCGCGGCGCGGTAGAGACCGTCGTCGCGGCCGTCGTAGCTGAAGAGGTGGTAGGCGATGGACTGGGCGCCGGCGCTTTCGCCCCAGATTGTGACCCGGTCCGGGTCTCCGCCGAAGGCGGCGATGTTCTCCTGGATCCACCTGAGAGCCAGCCTTTGGTCGAGGAGGCCTGCGTTGCTGGATCCTTCGGCTAGGAGAGCCGGGGTTTGGAGGAAACCGTACATGTTGAGACGGTAGTTCATGGCGACGCTGATGATAGGCTCACCCATATTCTGGCTGACCTTGACGATGCCTGACAGGTTGTACTGAGGGTCCGCCTGATTGCATCGTCAGTCAAACTTAGGACAGTGTCAGTTGAAGTTGATGAACTTACAATAGAGCCCGTGTACAGACCACCTCCGTATATCCAAACCAAAACCGGCAATGGCTTCTCGGGTTTCCCAGCAGGACGGACGACGTTCAGCGTCAGGCAGTCTTCCGACATGTTGAAGGTCCCGCGGTACTGCATACAGCTGTAGCCTTGCTGTGTCGCATCTCGGACCTCATCGAAAGAAGTATTGAGGCTTTGAGGCCAGCGGTATCTGAGCTGACCGACAGGAGGCTGGGCAAAGGGAACGCCTAGGAAGGCATCTTGGTCCCAGTCGGAGAGATGTATGCCCCTGTATGTGCCGTTGACCACCTGGGCCGTAGGCTCCTGAGCAGCCACAGCCCGGAGGCAGGCCAAAGCCGCAGTGGCTAAACAGTACAAACGCGTCATTTCAAAGAGCTAGAAGCAGCCGCCTTGCCTAAGAACCCTTCTCCTCATGAATCCATCGCTCTCCCCCTTTTATACGGCCGACAGCGCGCGGACATGCCGCTGCGCTGCTCATCAAGTCGTGGCCGATCCACAGGAAAAGCATCGTTGGCCCCTGGCGTGATTGGAGGAAAATGAACAACCGCAATGAAAAGCTCATCGTCCTGATTAACCAGGGGCCGGAAGAAATAAGCGTCTACCGTCTGGGGTAAATCATTGGGGAAGAATGCGGGGGATGCGGGGGACGCTGTCGATGGCCTATGAGCCGGCCGGGGAGCGATCTCGACTTGGGGTTGAGGGCCAGGGGGCGGACATTACGAAGGACAGTGATAGGCGTCATGGGCTTTCGATAATGATTTTCCGGCACCGCGAGGCGAGTTGCTGCAGGAAAGCGTCTGCATCGAGAGAGAGAGCCGAGGGTCGGACGGAAGAATTGAGGCCATTCAGGGTTGCACTGAAGTCGGGTCTCTGACGGCCAAAGATGAGAGCCTGCTGAAATTTGTGAGCTTGGGCTTGAGATATATGGTGCAGGCTGTACGATCTTACCTTGATGATTGGTTATCTGTGAGCATGGCTGCTTCTTGTGAAGGCATGTGATTGAGATGAGTTGACTTGGTGGAGTGGTTCTCGCGATGAGACGCCTGTGAGTGAGACACCGTGCGTCTGGCGACACACTGTCTACGAACACAGTACAGGCCGGCTAATTGTCGGATGGAGACCGCCCGCTATTGACGTCAACCGAGCCGAGCTTAGAAATTTGGGATCAAAGCTTCCGAGTCTTAGCTCCTCGTCGGGAAAGTCAATTTGACATCAACGGCCTCAACATCACGACCCCGCCAGACGATTGCGTTTACTGCAAGTTCCAAACATTATATATACGCAGACTTTCGACTCAGAAACCTCAATATGCTCTGCAGATCGTGCCGACGCGCAATTGCGCTCTCCAAGCCCGCAACAAACACCCTCGTCGCCAGGGCTTCCGCAACAAGCTTCCCGATCGCCGCGAGAACATACTCCTCCTCCGCTATTTATCCTCGAACGACCGCAGTCTCCTCCTCATTTGCATGTCAATCCGCATCTAGATTGAGGTCCGCGACACTCTCCAAGCGCACCTACTCCTCCGCGACGGAGACCGCACCACTCGAGAAGCCCGACCACCTCGATGCCGCCGAGTCGACGATATGGGACAAGCTGGTCGCTGAGTTCTCCCCCTCAGAGCTCATCGTGCAGGACGTCTCCGGCGGCTGCGGCTCCATGTACGCGATCGATATCACCTCGGCCAAGTTCAAGGGCGCCAACATGCTGAAGCAGCAGCGCATGGTCAACGCGGTGCTGGGAGACATGGTGAAGCAGTGGCACGGCATCCAGCTGCGGACGAAGGCCCCTTGAGCTGCGTTCACGGACGGAATGATATACAATGACGGAAAGATGGAATGCTGCGGCGGCATGATTGTACTATAAACGGCGGTGTACGGACATAATTATACCTCAATGGCAACTCCCCTCCAAGAAAGGGCCGAGACGACGGAAAATACAACATGAAAGAGATTCTACACTGGTACGCCGCATGCGAGTGACTCAATGGCTTGATACCACAGTTCGGAACGGGCAAAAGGTGTTGATTGACGTCTATTTATGGGCTCTCCTATGCTTTCCTCGGAATCGTTCATGATGAAACCGCGGTCATATGTAACGCGGCTTTGTTTCTGCAGACAGCATATGCGCTTTCCCAAATCCTATCTCTCATACCCTGGAGTCTTCGAGGCATCTGTTAAGATCTGCTGTTTTGACTTCCGTCGGGAATCTGGCCAATGACAAGCATTGTATTACTCCTGCTGTCCGCCTAGTGGGCCCCTCTATGGGTCGTCCGGACTTCTTTCTCCAGCCTCCAAGACTTCAATTCCGTCCGGGGTTGGGGACCTTTTTTTCTGAGGGGACTTTGCGTTATCGAATGACAGACCTTCGGCGAGATTCGGCTTGTAACGATCCGCCGTGGACTCGGCCGAGATAGTCAGCTTACCACGGTTCTCCTCAGTTTTCTTGCAACCCCCAATTCAAAAATCACAAAATTTCATCTTCCCGCTCAGCAGACATCTTCCGAGCTCCCTTGCGCCATACAATCAAGCGATCGCCGTATCGGCTCGTGGAAGTGCCGACCCTTGCTGCGGCAGCACGCCCAGACAACACACCAGCCCTCCATTGGCTGGGTCGCTTTGGCGACAGGGGCAGGATGCAGTCAGATTTTGGCGAACCGTTAGAGATTGCAACGCCGGGATTTGTGCTTTATAGTGGACACTCATACTGCGTGGAAGGATGAGGAGTGTGAAATCAGTGGACGAGATGCGAAGATGCGCCCATCGTTGACCCGATTTGTGAATGCGGCCCGGACCAGGTAGGCCCATTAGACAACAGGACCTCGGCGCCGAGGACCCGGAAGTCACACTGGACCCGAAGAGATGCTGTCAGCATCGTCATCAGACCCAGAGCGATGTGACAACAAACGGAGATGCAATGCTTCTGCCCCTCGTTGGACGTAGCACGAGAGCCGGGCCCGAAGGGACCACAGAAGCCAGATAAAAGTGCTGTATGAAGTCCGTCCGAGGAGGATGGCTCTTGCTCCTTGATCCCTCACCAGCATCTGGTGTCGCCCGCCATCATGGCTCTTCCAGACATTACAGCCTCAGATATCTCCGGCTACTTCTCGCCGGTCTATCTGCTCCTGGCCTTCGCACTCTACTACATCACCACCTCGATCGCAGCATGGCGCCGCCTGCGAGCCTTCCCCGGCCCCGCGCTCGCCCGGTTCTCCTACCTCTGGAACATCCTCAACTCCCGCACCGGCCGCCCCGCCGAGACCTTCACCCGCTTGAACCGCGAGCACGGCTCCCTGGTCTGCATCGGGCCCAACGACCTCGTCACCGACGACCCGGACATGTTCCGGCGGATGAATGGCGCGCGGTCGATGTACAACCGCTCCTCGTGGTACAACGCGGCCAAGTTCAACCCGCACGAGGAGGCCATGTTCAGCATCCGCGACATCCGCAAGCACGACAGGATGAAGGCGCAGGTCGCGGGCGCGTACTCGGGCAAGGAGAACGACGCGCTCGAGAGCGGGATTGATAGCCAACTAGCGGGGCTGACGGAGCTCATCCGACGGAAGTATGTTACTATGGGCGAGGATATGAAGCCGATGGACTTTGGGAGGGTGGCGCAGTACTTTACGCTCGACGTGATTACGGAGATTGCGTACGGGAAGGCGTTTGGGTATATGGCGACCGACTCGGATATCCATGAGTACATCAAGACAACGGAGGATGTTGTGCAGATTCTGCAGATGCTGGGCGAGGTGCCGTATCTGTGCACCCTGTTCTGGTCGAAATGGGTGTTGGGGACTGTTGGGCCGAAGCCAACGGATAAGTCTGGAATGGGAAAGATGATGGGGTATGTTACTCCGTCTGTCGTCGTTGTAGTCGACACTGACACGCCTGCAGAGTTGCGAGAGACGTGGTTGCCAAGCGGTTCGGGCCTGATGCCAAAGATGAGCGCGACATGCTGGCAAGTCTTTCGAGACGATGTTGCTGCTAGAAGCAAGACTGACTTTGATAGGGCTCTTTCGTCCGCCACGGGCTCACGCAGGGTCAGGCCGAGCAGGAGGTTCTGTTCCAGATCACCGCCGGCTCCGACACCACCGCCACGGCTATTCGCACGACCTTTCTCCATCTCCTGACCTCACCCAATGCATACCATACCTTGAAGAAAGAGATTCACACTGCAATTGCGGAGGGTCGCGTGTCGTCGCCGATTACAGCTGAAGAGGGCAAACAGCTGCCTTATCTGCAGGTACATGTCCACCAACTGCTCTCGGTGAATGTCAGCTAACGCGAACCCTGCTAGGCCGTCATTTACGAGGGTGTCCGAATGAACGCCCCATTCACGGGGCAGTGCTCCAAGGAAGTCCCCGCGGAAGGAGACACCATCGATGGTCGCTTCGTTCCCGGCGGCACACGCATCGCGCAGAACTTCTGGGGCGTGATCCGCCGGCTTGACGTTTTCGGAAAGGACGCAGACCTCTTCCGGCCAGAGAGGTGGCTTGAGGCGGACGAAGCGACGAGAGACAACATGGTGAGAACCACGGAGTTGACGTTCGGTCACGGACGGTGGGGATGCTCTGGGAAGAATGTCGCGTTTATGGAGCTGAACAAGGTCTATTTTGAGGTAGGTCGGGCCTGTGTGATGCGAATAGGACACAACGCTGACGTTTTTTCATACAGCTTCTTCGAAACTTTGACTTTCAGATCGTGAATCCCGGCAGGCCATGGCACAGCATCAACCATAACCTGTGGATGCAGCATGAGTTCTGGGTGAAGGTGACTGAGTCTGCGACAAGCTAGACGTCAGAATATGGCGGCGAGACTAATCGAATGAGCAGCAATATGGAATCTAAGAGAATATCCTCATTCTGATCGAGCTACGGTGGGCTGTTTCATCTTGGCAGGACGCAGCAACAATCGCGACTTCTTCATCGTCAGCTCTAGGCTGTGTGAGATGTTACTTAGTCAATATCTTGAGGTATCTTCCTCCCTTAAATTAAGATAATACTCCCAGGAAGAATAATAACGCAATCGAATTATCACCGCAATTTCTACAAAATAATGTGCACTACGATGTTAGTAGGACTTGTTGCTGTTCTTCAATTATGGTCAATGTCTAGCAGCCTGCCCTAGATGGGGCGCGGTTGAACCAGGTCAGCCACGGACACTAAAAGACAGGTGAAACAAAACCTTCTGTTAGCCGCACTTTGCATTCCGCAGAACAAAACTATGCCAAATTCTACCGCTCGCTCACAGAAACAACACCAGCGAAATTGCTGTATGCGACACCTTGCGAAATGATGCTTTGCACGAGAAGCCCATGAGCTCAGCTACAAGGGCCGATGAAGTGGACGAAATGACATGGATCTCTTAATGCCTTGGTGGCTCAGTGGTAAAGCGTCTCACTCGTAATGAGAAGATCGGGCGTTCGATTCGCCCTCGAGGCAACGATCTGAATCTTTTGCTCGTTCTGGCCTGCAACGCTTCATCCTTTGTAATTTTTACTCGGTTCTGCACTCTAGCTTTTGGCGAAACTCATGACCATCAACTTCAAAGTTCCCTGGCGTTCGTCACTTCAAGTAGACTGTTATTTGAGATACTGAACTACTCACTGCGAATCAAGTGCTTGAACAGCTCGCCCAAGAACAACGCAGATCTCTTGGGATACCGCGTCTTCTCGGGACTCTCAAAGTCAATCCATGTCGCGCCGAACCTGTCCGAGAACCCAGCCGCCCACTCCCAGTTATCCGTAAAAGTCCATCCAAAGTACGACTTGATCACCACTCCCTCCTGCGAAGCCTTGGCTACTTCCGTCAAATAGCTCTTGAAGAAGTCAATCCGGAACGGATCCTCGAGAACATCGTCCGGCCCCTTGGGTTTCCAGTCGTGCTCGCCTTGCGCCGTAGTCCCGTTCTCGGTGATGTAGATCGGCACGCCGTACCGGTTCCAGATCCAGCGCAGCAACTTCGCCCACCCCCACGGCGTCGTGCGCAGCCAGTACGTGTCACTCATCGGCCCCCGCGGCACGCCCTGCTTGTTCTCGTCAAACTGCTCAATGTTGCCCTTGTGGTCGTTGATGTCCGCCGGCCCGTCGCGGTGGCGCACATAAAAGGCAGAGTACGAGTTCATCCCGTAGACCTCGGAGCTGCCCAGCACGAGCTTGCTCTCCTCCGGCGTGAACCGCGGCAGCCGGTCCCCGAGCTGCGCCCGCATCGACGCCGGGTAGTCGCCCGTCTTGTACAGCGGGTCCGCGAACCACGCAATCTCGAACTCGCGCGCGCGCTCAGCGGCCTCGACGTCGCGGGGGTCCGCCGCGTCCCAGGGCTCGGACCAGTTGCCGTGCAGCGTAATCATGATCGTGCCCTGCTGCGACGGTTGGAACTCCTTCTTGTACATGTCCGCGGCGTACGCGTGCGAGACCAGCTCGGTGTGCGCGACGATGAAGGGCTCTGTGCTGGAGTCGCCCTCGTCGTTGAGCTCGCGGAAGCTGGACCGCGCGGGGGCGTGCACACCCGCCGCGTAGCCGGCGAGGGTGTACACGCCGGGCTCGTTGTACGTGATCCAGTTCTTGACGCGATCGCCGAAGCGCTCGAAGCAGACCCGGGCGTAGCGGACAAAGTCGGGCGTGTAGCGGTCCTTGTCGAGCATGCCACCGTAGCGGTCCTCGAGCGCCTGCGGGGTGTCCCAGTGGAATAGCGTGACGAAGGGGGTGATGCCGTTGGCGAGGAGCTCGTCGATGAGGCGGTTGTAGTAGGCGATGCCTGCCTCGTTGACGGGGTCGTCTTTGCCGCCGAGGGGAATGATGCGCGACCAGGAGAGGGAGAAGCGGTAGCCGCTCACGCCGTAGCGCTTCATGAGGGCGACATCTGTCTTGTACAGGTCGTAGGAGCGCACGGCGTCGTCGCCTGTGCTGCCGTCCTTGACCTTGCCGGGCGTGTGGGCGAACTTGTCCCAGATGGACTCGCCTTTGCCATCTTTGTCCCAGGCGCCTTCAACTTGGGCTGCGGCTGTTGCGAAGCCCCAGGTGAAGTCGGGCGGGAGGGCGCCCTTGATGGACTCGTCGAACTCGAACTGCGTGGCCATGATGGTCAGTGGGTGATGTGAATGAAAGAAGACGGCCAACCTACTGCGCTCTCTACATCGTGCAACGCATCTCATGTACGAATGCACGACTCAACCCCACCTCACGATCATGTGCTAATAGCTGGAGCTTCATAGACGCGATTTCGATGGAGAGGCATTCCTGCGTCGGGATAAAATGATGATGATTCGTGGAGAGGGCATGTCGGTCAGAGCTGGCCCGACGGCTGTTGAGCGGATGGACGGCCGAATGTCACTTTAGTGGGGTTCTCTGAGCTACATGCAGCATGTTCAAGGGATGTAGTGGCGCCGTGTCAGGGAAACTCAAGAAGACGTGAATTCTTCTCAAGAGCAAGTCTTTCCGCGTAGGTGAATTCAATTGATGAGTCGATGGAAAGAGACTGAAGACAAGGTTTAGTCTGGGGCTCACACTGAGACAAAGGTGAGCAAATGAAGGCAGACCAGACAGAAGCTTAGCGCTGAGGGTGGTGTGTTGGGGCCTCAACTCACAGGCGTGGGGGTGTTGTAGCGTCCCCGAACCCATGGAGCGGGCCGTCGTTTCTCGGCGAGAGATGCCGGTCGGTGTGTTCAACCACAGCTCTTAGTAATGAGCCGAACCGTCGTGTTTGAGCCTCAATACTGTAATACGGTTCTTGGTATGATGGGTAAGTCTCTGTCCCATTTGGTTGGTAGTAAGAGCCTAGCCCAAAGGCCTCTCATAGGGCTTTCGGGCAGCGTTTGAGTCCCGATCTACAAGGTGAAAGAAGTCAACAATGAACCTGTGCTCAACATCGACCATGTTCTTTAAACTACAGCTCCCCATGATCTCATGCGAACCGACGTGGAAGAAATGACAGTTTGGTAGGGACGATAGAGGTTTTCCACACAGAAAAGCTCGACGGAGGACGACAGGCCGACGACAGCTTGGTTGAGTAACACCGTAACGCGACCCTCCTTGTTTTTGGCCAACATGCCTCGTCATCTCGGTCTGCCAACGCTGTCCACCCCGCGATATCCACCTCTCAATATGACAAGCTGGGATGTTACAAGTCGATCAGCAGGGTCCATCTGGTGGCTCAGCCAACTTCAGTGCATGACCCCTCGAGCGGCCGCACGTGCCGAAACGGTTAGACCACCACGAGAGGGCATAAAGTCGCGCCAAGCATCTCACCACGTATAATCCTCACGACTTCAGTTAGCCGTATACAACCTCCAAAAGATTCAACAGCATGGTTCATCTAAAGATCTCCGAGACACGACGCGGAAAGAGCGGGCGTTTGACCATTCTCGTCGAGTTGATGAATACTAAAAGGGCGCGAAAACCCCCCGGTTGCCTGCTTGGCGAGTTCACCTATCCTGAAAATCGCTCATATACGTTTTGAAGAAGAACCCTCTTTTTTAATGAGAAACTCGCTTGGAGGCCTCCCGAATACCTTGCGGGATACCCAGTTCGGACAATCATCGAGAGATGACGCAGACGATGGTTGTGTCATGAGGGATAATTCGCCGACACATCCACCACCCGCGCCCACTGACCCGAACCGGCCCCTGAGCGAGCTATCCTCAACCCGGGCTACCTGAAAAACCGGCCATGCGGGAGTTTTTCAGACATCACTTCCAAGGCAACACTACGCAGGCCTCTTTGCCATCGACGCCTGATCATCTCGTGCTAACGAGAGCAGATGGTCTGCAACGGATTCAAAGTTTATGCTTTCCGGCCTCTCCGTCAAGCAGCATCGACGCGCAATCGTCCGTGTCCCGTGCCCCCTCCCAATCGGACTCAGAGTCAACCGAAGACGGCTTGCCAACGGACGAAAAGCAGCGGCCGATCCGCTCGAGGGCGAGAGGGACCTTGGGGCTTCTGAGACACACGATGCTGTCGTCCTGGCTCAACGTGCTGCTCTTGTTCGTCCCTGTCGGTCTTGGGCTGTTCCTGTCCAATGCCAGCCCGATTTTGGTCTTCGTTTTCAATGGAATCGCCATCGTTCCGTTGTCAGCGTTGCTCACTGGTGCGACTGAGAAAATTGCAAGCGATGCCGGGGATACGATAGGCGCGTTTCTGAACATCAGCCTGGGAAATCTCGTGGAGTTGATCTTGTTGTAAGTGTCCCCTGGACCCGGTTCCTTCGTACGAGTGTTAACGTGCATTCTTTTGACAGCATGTGAGTTTTATTTCAAGAATAAAGGGGACTGGAACTAACAATTCAAGCGTGGCCCTCAAACATAATCAAATCCATGTGGTGCAAGCGTCTATCCTTGGCTCCATGCTTGTGAACCTGTTGCCCATACTTGGCACGGCACTATGTGTCAACGGTCTGTGGCATGATGACCCGGTCCTCAACACGACCGAGACGCAACTTCTAAGTTGTCTGCTGTTCGTCTCTGTGTTTGTCTTCCTCATTCCGGTATGTTGCACTTGTGTATGACATTCGAGGGCATCGCTCAGACAAGGCAGACAGCGTTCTATCACACCTTCAACGACACCGAAGATGCCGGCGGGGCAATCCTGAAGATGAGCCGGGCATCGGCATTGATGGTACTGCTCATTTACATACTCTATTTCATTCACGAGTTCAGGACGCACTCTGCAAACCGTTCATATCACGCAGCTCCGACACACTCCTTCGACCTGGAAAGCCTCCCCACCTCTCCGTCAATACCAGCACAACAGGCGAGGCAGCAGGTTCAAGAAGCTGTTCCTCCCAATCGAACGATTCGCT